TATCAATTATCTTGTCGAGGCATAAAATAAAAACATGTGACCGAACGATCGTTGTAATTAGCCCATAACATATAGGAATTTCATGCCTAATTGTGGCGAATACCGATGTTTAATGCTACCTATTAGCAATGACATCACAACTGCGTTCTCTCGTTAAACCGGAAAGTGGGTCGTTTCGTTATGGAAAATCTCGCGATACTTCTTCACGCCTGCCTATACGCGGTTATATGTGTAACGATTCTCTCGAGTCACCTTTCTTTCGCAACTCTTCTAAATCCCTTCGATTCTCTCGATTCGCAAATTGCGCAACGAGGAAATATATCCGTCTCGACAGATCGATCTGTACCGTACGATAGATCTTGCCTCTTTTTCTTTTTTTCCTCGTTTTTTCCTCGAGACAACGGAGAGTCGCAATCCTCTCCGACCTCTTTAAACATCATAATCCGGAATTACATTTATTAAATTAGATAGAAATATTGTTTGAACAGAAAATACCGCTTATAAATTTCTGGTTGACGCGAAACTATGGCTCGAAGATAAGATGATGAGAGAAGAGAAGGAACGCGAGTGGTGGTTAATTCATGAGAGCAAATCGTGGAGGAACGGAGAGCAAGTGGCTGGTGCGCGGTGTGGCTGCACGTGGTGGCACGTGGAGAGGCGTGGTTCGTGGGAGGGCCGTGTACACCGGTGTAATCCACTTGGCACACGCTGTTCGGCTAACCCTACTCTTTCTCGTCCGTTCGCTACCCTACCCTGGCTACCTCTGCCTTTACCCTGCCTACGGTGCTGCCGGTCGCTAACGTTGTAGAAGTTAATCGAATCCTTCCGTGCACGTGCACACGGCTCAGGTGCAGCCTGTTTCCTCTAGTATGCGCTCCCGTAGGTGGGATCGGTACCACTCGCGCCTCTCCTCCTCTCCAGCCCTCGCTGATCCCCGCTGTCTGATAGGGCTCATTGTTTTGGACCGAGCTATCTTAATTGACGGTGCAACCACCTTGTCACCGGTCACAACTTGGAGGGAATGGAAAAGGTTAAAGAGAAAAGGAGAGAAAGAGAGGAGTTAACAAAGGGTTAATGCGTTTGCAAGTTTTTCTTTCTCTGGGCAAATAAAACACATTATATATGCTCGATCGACTTGACTACGTTTAGATTTACGACTCTGTATACAGATTTCCCTAGCTAGGCAAGATAGGATAGATATTATCGGGTGCAGCCGCCCCCCCTTTTAATTCTCCATAACCGGTCCCGTTATCGTATACAATCGCGTCGCGCACCCCTCCACACCCCTTCCAAGATTAATCTCAGCCACGGGTGAGATCCGCTATGTTTTACGAGCTGGTGAAAACCATTGGGCGGTCCTCTCGTCGCGAAATTGAATCGAATCGGTTTAGGTGACCGTGACTATCTCGCGTTCGCATCTTCCGACAAGTCGGAAAAGAGGGTGGGGAAGAACGAACAGCGGATAGGATGCATCTGTTTGGTTCAAGTTGAAGACCTCGTTAATTTCATCTCTCTGTCGTTCTATTTGTTTCTCGCGTCGTGTATAATTCAGAAAAATGTGTATAATATGTAATTTGGAAACGACAGTTAAGTATCCTTGAGCATATTTGTTTGAGATTCGTCCGATGAAAAGCGATATCTCTTCGTTTTCGACGGGAATATACTCATCCCTCGGGCGTTAAGGGATAATATCGTGTAATAATAATCGAGCAGGGGGGTACGATGGTTGCCTGCATAGGCTCGGTAGTATTTTAAATGCCAATGATTTCATGTCTCCCTGGGGTGTCGAAGCTACCCTATATAGGACGACACGTGGACGTCGAGGACCTCAGTCGACGTCGAGAATTCGACGATTAATAAGTTAAGCCGACGGCGGACTTATTTGCGACAACGGTAATTTAAAACCGAGTAAAAAATTCAGAAATTCCGTGTGAAAGTAATTTGAGAATTTGGCTATAGGATCGTCGAAAAATTTGCTCGAAGAGTCGATCTATACGTCGAATTTAATTCGAACTCGATTCGCCCCCCGATTAATCGCAGAGATGATCACCATGGACACCGGTCACTCTCAATATCGAAGATATTGTACGTAGAAGCCATCGAACAAATTTCCATCTCATCCCCTTACATCCGGGTAAACCATCGTAGAAACCATCGTTCGGGATATCTCAAGTCGGACAGACAAGAAATAGTCTGGCGCGTACGTTGCTGCACGTCGAAAAGTTAACGTCTCTCCACGTTTCATCGTGGATCGATAAAAAAATTCGGGTTCGTTTTAGAGATCGAACTTTTCATTCGTTGATCCGGATAGAGACGTCCTCGAAAGAGACCTCTTCTGCCCTCCCTTTTATCGAAAAGTGGAGGAAAAAAAGAAAAAAAAAAAATAGAAAAAGTCTATTGAACTGTAATGTAAATCACACAGTTCGTCTCTGATAATTGAGTTCACGAGACGCGTAACAAGGGTTAGGGTTAACGTTTGCACGATTTCTTTATTTTTTTATATATTTCGGGATATCCCCGAAGAAAGAGGCTCGTTTTCCTATTTGTTCGCAGCTTGAGGACGCGTGTTGGATTCTGTTGCAGGGCAACTTCATTCGCCGAACGGCGACAGCGATAACAGCAACGGTAGCCAACGTGCGGTGGCTATTACGCGGAACGACGTAGAGCAACAGCAACAGCCACATCGACAGCGGCATCAACGGCAGCAAGCGACAGCTACCGTTCCAGTTCTCGCCTGCACGAATCAATCTTCTACAACCCCGACGACAACCGCGTTCACGGTGGCGTCAAGTATGCTTCTTCTACAGACACAGGTAACGTAACGCGTTAATAGAACTCTTCCCTCTTGTTTCTTTTAATTATTAATTATATAATCAGGTTCGAGATTCGCTCGAAAGATTGGCGCACGTGTGACATTATCTCGCGACATCAATTATTTTCTCTTTTTCTCTTCGCAATTCCAATTTCTCTATACTTGCCTCTCCCTTTCTCTCTCTTTAATTTCACTTCGTTTCACATTTATTTCTTTTTTAAATTTCTCGTTAACGTATCTTCGAATCGTTTCCCAACTTCCTCCTTATCTATTATATATTACCATTATTTTCTCATTTATCACTTAATACCATGAAATTTACGGCAGATTGGACTCCGTATTATTCGTGATTCAATGCAACAAAGTTGTTAATGATAATAATTGAACGTTATTGCGTGCAAAGGAAAAAAAAAAAAAAAAAGAAAAAGAAAAAGAACGCGTTTCCTCAACGCGATCGGAATTTACGTGAACGTTATTCGACGGAGCCAACCAGTAATTATCCCAGTATTTAGTGGGGCGCACGGAACTTTCACTATTTCGCTATCTTATCTGGCCCCGTAGTCTTCGAAGTCCGCGAGTCTGCCTCGACTCGCAACAAGATCTGCCCTCCTACGTCCCGACGTTTCTTGATCGTCATCTGCATTCGCTTATCGTGCACCATCTGCATTCCTGCCCACGTACCCGGATCTCCAGTGTCGTCCTACCTGTTTCTGTCCCCACCTCTCCTCGCATTTTCCTCGTTGAAAAGTATTTTCGATCCCGGGAACCGTGTCGCGGGATCGTAATTAATCCAATCCGCGAAAATTAGTGGTTAACGTATATATAGAGAACGGCACGATTCAATATCATAACGGCGCGATAATAATTGTTAGGCGGATAGTTTCGTGGGGATGACGAGGAGGGGTTGAAAGACTCGCGGAGGCCGTTTAGAAGGCCTCCAGTCAGGGTTATGGTAGACCGAAGCTTCGATCGCGAGGGATACTCGAGGGAGCGATGAACGAAATGTCAGCCCAGAAGCGGAACCAACCCGGCAAATTGAATATCCAACCCCATCCCATTTCCCTCTTACCGGTATCCTCCAATAAGGTAGCTCGTCAGACGTTTTTTCCACGTCTTTGCCTCGTTTACTCGACGAATTTTGTTGCTTCTCTTGGAGGAAAAAAAACAAATAAATTTGTCGTTTTTCGATTATCATGTTTTCCTCCCCTCGATATATTTTTAATATCATTATCGAATATACCGATGGTTTTAAGTAAAACAATATATTTGTAATAATATTCGAGGGAATGAGGTCGATAGCAATGGAGGAGAAACGGTTAAAAAAATCCAAATCTGTCGTTGGTTCGTAGTTTAACGATAATGAAATTAGAGTCACGTGGAACAGATTGTAATCGTAATCGTGATTTCGGATGAAAGGATTCGATTTAGATTCGATTCAAGAAAGTAGAAATCGAAGTTATAGACAACACGCGATACGAGAATCCGCTTCGTTCCTCTCCGATATCCTCACTGCGCACCTCAACTGTACATCGATGTCTCGACAAGGCTCGCGATTGTGGTCGAACAATGTTACCGCCTTGCAGTCGAGTGCTTCGATTTGCCACTCGCACGGGCTCTCCCGCCCTTGTCTGGCGTTCGTAGAGACAACAGAAAAAGGGAACACCTACCAATCTTCCTCTGAGTAAAATAGTGCTTCGTCAATTCGAACGGCTCGAGTTATCGGAGGATCGAAGAATTTCGGCTCGGATTCGAGTGGACGATCGAGCATCGATCGAGAATCGTGCCGTTTTTAACTCATCGCGCGACGAAACTCTGCCAATTCACATCTTTCGAAACTCTGGCAATTCGATCAAAGATTTATCGTGATAATCAAGGATGTTCACTATCGCAAAGGACACGGTTCGATACGAATTTTCCAGAGCCCCTTCGGATGCAGTACCCTGGCGGATTTGTTGAGCGCTTCGTACACGGATCCAACGGATGCTGGAAGCCTACCCGAGGAGTTGGACCCGTTTCCAGAACTGCAGCTGGGCAATCCGCAGGGAGTGCCGACGGGCGACGAGTCGGCCCAGGCCCAGCAACATCATCAGCAGGCACCTCAGCCGCCTCAGCCGACAGCGCCACTTCCCGAGGACGTCCAGCCTGACTCGCTCAGGTACGCTTCTCATTGTTTCCCTTATCTGCATCATCCTCTGACCAGATAGAATCGTAGATCCTATTGCACGATAAATGATAAATCGTATCGGCTGATAGGATTATCGTGACATAGTTGTACGAATCCTGTTCGCCGAACAAATTGCACGACGTTCAATTCTCCATAGTTGGAGGAGAAACGATAGTTTATATCCATCTGTCTGTTCGACGCAGTTCAACGCCCTTGCCGAGCTTCCAAGAGACTTACACGGCTCAACGATACACCAGGCAGGAGCTTCAGGTTCTCGGTATCAAAATGGACGAGGGGGAGTGTTACGACAACTCGGTGTATTCGTGCGCAACCGGCCCCTATCCAACCGAGTTCTCGCCCACGTTGCCCTACCACGAGCAACAGCCCCAGCAACAGCATCACCATCATCCCCAGCAGCAGCAGCCCGCGCCGCCCCCGCCGCAGCAGCATCAC